ACATCGGGGTCAAAATCAAAGATCTCTATATTAGGGACATGATCAATATTAACTAACAACTCACAATCAGGTAATGAAGATGAATCAGTTGTATCTATAGCATCAATCACACTAAATAACTGAGAGAGTCCATGTGAATCAACAGAAGTACTAGATGAATCACTGAAAGTGCTAAGGCTATGGACAGGTACAAAAGAATCAAAGCTAGAATGTCTAACAATCTCAATAAAATCAGTGAAAACATCAATATCAGCAGCATCTATACTAGTGCATGTATCACAACTACCAATTTCAGAACATTAACAAGAGATAGAATCATCTAAGCCAACAATATCACATGATCTAGTTATTATACTATCTCTAAAATCCATGACAGCATTATCAATGATAACATCAATAAAACTAACATCAATCTCAGCACAACTATCAGGTAGATGTCTCAGAGAGTCAAGCACATCAAATCTAATGATTTTACTAGCAAATTCCATAGTAAGAGTACCAGCATGCACATCTATCATAGCCTTAGCAGTCTTAAGAAATGGTCTACCCAAAATCAAAGATGAACGTCCCTTTTACCTAAATCTAGCATCATCTATATCCAAAACATAGAAGTTTACAGGAAATATGAGATCTTTTACCTTAACCAAGACATCCTCCAAGACTCCTTCTGGAACTACACAACATCTATCAGCAAGAGAAGCAATTAGATTTGTAGGCTTAAGATCCACACCTTGCAGTTGAGTAAAAACCGATTTCGGCATGACATTGATAGCTGCTTCTTGATCTGCTAAAGCATCTGAAAACTCAATGTTGCCAATGGTGCAAGGTATGAGAAAGCTACTAGGATCCTTGCACTTCACTGGCATTGGCATTTGATAAAGAGAGGAAACAACTGCCCCTAAGTCAACTTTGCCATCATGCTTAAGCCTTCTCTTGGTGGTACACAACTCCTTCAAAAACTTCGCATACTTGGGCACTTGTGCAACTAGATCAACCAATGGAACATTGATCACCACCTTTTTGAAGATATCATAAACCTCTTTGAACATCTCAGCTTCTTTCTTTTTCCTTTCAGCCCTAATCACCCCTGTAGGAAAAGGTAAGACTTGCTCACTCACTTTCTTCCGTTCCCCATCTTTTTATTGCTCTTCTTGCAATTCCACATATGGTTTTGATAAAGTAGACTTATTATGCGATGTGGAAGCAGGGGGAGAATCTTTAATGATAGCTTCCTCATCCGTTAAAGCATAGGTGGTGACAGGATCTGTGGAGGTAATTGAATTTCCACTTCTGAGAGATATAGAATTAACTCCACTAATGTTAGGATTCTGCTGGGTGCCAACATTAGGGTTAACTACTACCTGAGATGGCAGCTTCCCCAAGCCTTGACTTTGCATGTTAAAGTGCATTAGATAACTGCCCAATCTGAGTTTGAAGATTCTGAATTTCTTGGCTATGTTGCAAATCCTTTTGTTAAAACTTATCCATCAGGAGTTTCATCATGCCTTCTAACTTTGAACTCTCATCTTGATTTGGCATAGTTTGCCTAACTTGTTGGAACATTTTACCACTAGAAGAAGTTGCATCTTGATTGAACTGTGATTATTGAGGCTGGCCACTCCCATATATGAGATTTGGATGGTCACGCCATCCAGGGTTATATGTATTTGAGTAAGGATCATATTTCTAGCCACCTTGAGTCATAGGCTTAGTGTGGTATATTGCATTACACGAGTCAACTCCATCATTTAGGTAAGGACAAGAGTTAGTGGTGTGAGTAGCTAGAGAGCAAATAGAGCAAAGTGGCCCAATTAGAGCTGTAGAGTCAGCTTGTAGGATGAAAGTGGAGGAAGATCCCACAGAAGGAGCCATATTTTGGGAGTTTTTCATCTGAAATACAACCATTTTCTCCATAGCAGATGCTAACTTATCAATTTTTCTCTCAAGGCGAGACTCAGAATAAGATGAATGCAATCCAATTTCATTTACTCTAGCTTGCTGCCTAGTACCAAATTGTTGGGTATTTTCAGCTTTCTTTTCAATCAATCTCCAAGCAGCTTCAACAGTCAAGTCAAGAAGAGCACCTCCAGTAGCAGAATCTAGTAAATCTCTCTCAAGAGGCAAGAGCCCTTCATGAAAATATTGAATCAGCAATGTATTTGAAATTTGGTGGTGAGGACAACTGGATAACAATGCCTTAAAGTGCTCATAATACTCATATAAGGATTCCCCAGACATTTGTCGGTAGCCACAAATATCCTTCTTGATGGAGGAAGTACGCGATGCTGGAAAATACTTTTCTAAAAACAACCTTTTCAGCTGGTCCCATGAAGTAATGAATCTAGGAGGTAATCGAAGAAGCCAATTCTTCGCAGAACTTTCCAAAGAAAATAGGAAGGCACGCATCTTAATCTGATCCTCCGACACCCCAGTAGGCTTCATAGTAGTACAGATCATATGAAAAATCTTTAAGTGATTGTATGGATCCTCGCCTACAAGACTATTAAATTTTGGAAGTAAGTGAATCAATCCAGACTTTAACTCAAAATCAGTGTCAATATCAGGATAATTAATGCACCAATTTTGAAAATACAAATCAGGCAAAACTAATTCCTTGATAGTCCTAGCAGGATTAGCCATGCTACTGTCAGAATCAAAAGAGTTAGAAGAATTAGAGAAATTAGTAGTTAACTTAACAGAAGAATCACTTTCTAGAAGATTACCAGCTTGAGCTCCCCTTCTTTGATGAAAAGTCCTCTCAATCTCAGGATCAAATTCAAACAATTCTTTGCTAGAGGATCTAAACATGCACTCAGCAACTATCACAAATCAAAGTGAAATGAAGAGAAGAAAAAAAGAAATGCATAAAAAAACCTAAAAAAAATGTAGAGAAAATATGCAAAATCATCTAAAACTCAAACCTAATGTCTAACCATTGCTCCCCGGCAACGACGCCAAAATTGATGATGCCTCTGTCCTTAAAGCACTCGATTAAATTAGGTCCTAATTGATTTATAGTTTAGGATTGACCTAGGTCATTACTTCCAAGGAGCAAATTATGGGTTTCTTTAGGTAAAAATTTAGGTGATAAAAAAAATGCGATAAATTGGACCTAAACTAAAATGCAAAATTCTAATTCTAAATGCAAGATGCAAGCATCCTAAAATCTATATGAAAATTAAATTAAACTAAATAAATGCAATGCAATTTTTGGGGGGATTTTTTTTGGAAAAAATAATAATAAATAAGGAAAATTGACTAAAGAGCAAAGAAAATTAATAAGTAAAAATCGAGAAGTTTCTCTTCAAGTAAGGTAGAGAGAACAACTTAGGATTCGCATGGATTTAACCTTCATAATTAGACCAAAGGAAAGTGATAAGAGAGTGGAATTAATAAGTCTAATTGCCTACTTGAAACTAAGGGAACCCTCAACTTCAAAAACCCTTAAACCATTAGAGAACTCATAACAGCATAAGATTGATTACTTAAGCTTATTAAAACCAATGAAGATAACTTCCTCTTTTTCTCGCCCCTGAGAAAATGGAGAGAAAGAGGGAAAACAAAAATGGTGAGGGGAATTTGACCAAATATTATATATCTTCCTCTCAGTAAAACTAAATTTCATTCCATTTCTAGAGATAGAAGATAAGAGACTCCAATATTATAATACTTTAGAAGTAGCAAAACCAATCAACCAAAATGCAAAATTTCATAGGGTGTTTGGGTAAGAACAAAGCCATAGTTTCAGAAGTATTTTACGGTATAAGAAGTAAATATGTGGAGGAGTTTGTCTCGATTTGCAGAAAAGTACTTCTGAAAAATAGTTCTGGGATCAAGCTGCAAGATTTTACAGATTGTCACAGACAACAAGAATGGCCGTTGAAACCCCCATGCCCATCTTCAATTCTCCACCTCAACGTCTAATTTGGTCAAATTCCCCTCACCATTTTTGTTTTCCCTCTTTCTCTCCATTTTCTCAGGGGCGAGAAAAAGAGGAAGACCTGGCAATACCAGTGTAACCAAACCTCTCACAGGGGAACATCCTTTGGTACATTGCAATTTGCGTGCATCACCGTCGACTTTTCCTCCGCATATTGTTCTGGAGCTTCTATCATTTGCCCACATTTTGTTGTGAGGAGATGAAGTCTGCTTGCGATGTTCATTTAGCATCTCTGGTTTGTGACATGGAGGATGCCATGTTGTTGATTGAATATGGATTAGAGGAGACGGCGCATATTCTAGTGGCAGTCCAAATTAATGTTGTGAGAATATTTTGCGGTCCTTAATTAAATGTACGACCCAATTGAATATTTTGAAAAAAAAATTAAAAAGGTTAAAAAATTACTACCTTTAATCCTTAATATAAGACTCAATTCACTAATTTAAGAAGATTAAGAAAACTAAAAATTACTTAATTATAGCATGTGTTACAAGACCTTTCTCAAATACTTATGTGTATGATTAGACTACATATCAGTTCATAAATCAAGCAAATTAGTTTGGAAAAAAAAAAACCACAAGTATAAATATTTAAAGAAATTTATTTATCTTTCTTAATTTTTTCAAATTAATCAGTTGGGTCCAATATTAAGGTCCAAAGCTAGTACTTAATTATAAAATGTTACATGATCTCTTTGTAATACATATGTGTATCTAAATTATAATCAGTTTCTAAGTAAGACAAATTAGTTTCGAGAAATATGATAAATATAATATTTTAAAGTAAATTATTTAACTTTCTTAATTTCCTCCAAATTATTCAAGTGAGTTTTATGTTATTTGCGGAATAATCTTACGATGTAAGCTATACACACACTACTAACTCAGGTAAACAAGTAGTTCATCTATAAATTACACTGCGTGACATGCACATTCCAACAAATTAAAGAGCATCAAAATCAATGTAAATAATAAATTAGCAGCTAGCTCTAACAAATAGAAATTTATTGCACTACAAGTTACTTTAATTTACAGCTGAACTGATCTGAGAACACGACTAACTATTGATTAATATCTACCTCGACTTGTAATAATTCATCCATCCTCTCAATAGTCTCTTGGATGGTTTCTGCTGGAACTGCAACTCGGCGTCTCTGGAACTTGAACTTGGCATAGAATATATAAATCCCAAGGTACACGAAACTTAGTGATGCCAATACTAGAAAATAGTTATCCAGGCGACTATGGTTTATTTCGTCCTTGATCCATTTGTAAAATACTAATGCAAATAGAATGCTGGAGAATTTCCCAATCCCCAGCAACATTTCAATGTACGGTTCCACAAAGTTTTTCATTGACTCAGAGTACAACCGATCACTCAAGAAATTCTTAAGCCCACCTTCTGCAAATCCTTCCATTAGCCCGAGCAAGAAATACTGTGGAGTTAAAATCATGATGCTCATGGGAATGTCGTCGTCTGGTTTTTTCAGATACAGCCTACGGCGTTCCACTTGCCAAGCCGCAATACAGCAAAGTACTGAAAAAAACATCCCAACAGCAATACTCCAAAGTGGTCTCACCACTTTATATCTTGATTGGATTGTTCGTACCACAAAAGTAATCAGAGATTTGATTGCAAACAAAGCCATGATAGAAACATCGAAAGCACCAATGTTATAAGAACTCAAGGTGCTTGCTTGCAAAACAAAGTAAGTGTTACCAGAAGTAGAAACCAAGTTGTATGAGAAGAGGGTAACCACCAGGGGAATTATAAGACAAAAGTTCTTGACATCTCTCACTTGCACGACCGTACAAACCTCTTCTTTTCTGACTTTCTCTTCATCATCGGAGTTGTTCATCATAGCAGCCCTGTCCAAGAACAACGAAAATGATGGATGACGTGGCAACAAGTGAACCTCACCATTTTCTGTCCGATAAAAGAAATCTTCTGATGAAGCATCGTCTGAATCTTCATTGTTATAGTCCTGTTTTGAAGATGGATATGACAGTCTGCGATTCTTAATGGCTGCTTTAAAGACCCTATAAGGGATAGTGAGAGGGCTTTCTGATGGTTTTTCTTCAGGATAATAGCAGAAAATGCCGATGATAAACAGTAAACACGTAGCTCCCATAACGATAGACGAAATTTCAAAATTTTCCCCCCAATGATCTGAGCTTAAGAAGAAGGAAGCTATAACGGAACCGATAATGGAAGCAGTAGACCACCAAAGATTAGTAGCTGCGCTGTCATTTTTACCTGATCTTTCCTTCTCTTGTGATGGTTCCTTATCTTCTCCTTCGTTCTTTTCAGTACAATTTTTCTTTACTTTTTCCCTCAGTTGATAATCAAAAAAATCTCTTAAAGTTGGCTCTTTTCCAGCCGTGCCTAATGCAATGAGTACTATTGCGAAAATCAGAGTAACGATATCCAGGTGTGATGCGCGAATCCATAGTAGCACCAACCCCTGCAATTAAAATAATACCTTCTTTCGTTTCATCTTGTGAATTTTAAATTTTATATTGGTACTCTTTCAATAAATAATTAATAAAAATAGGGTGATGATCGTGAATAATAAACATATATACCAAAAGTGAGTCAACTCGAAAGATGTTCAATTTTATATGTATAGTCACTTAATCATTTCATGTTGTATTTCAAGACCATAAGTAAGCTGTTAGCAAATAATCACAGCTATAAATTATCAACTCATGTTTCATGAACTGGAAGCTTTCAACAAAACAAGCCTTAACATGAGTTAATATATTTAAAGTTGCTAGCTATAGCTAGTAAGTTTATGATAACTAACCATAGTAAAGGATCCAGTGCAGAAGATAATGGCCTTGAAGCGACCTATGTAAGCCTCTGAGACATGTATAACAGCAACTTTTAACACAGCCGATAATCCCTCTAAAAAACTCTTAACCATAATCGCTTTCCATAGATTATACTTTTCATCTCCAAGGAAATCCGCGAAAACGTCCACCACCCCATTGCTTACCAATGCATGGCTGAGAACTAAACCTGAATATTAGAAATAAACCCTTAAAGAGTGGGTGCGGAACGAAAGCAAATTAACAAAGAAAAGAAGTTAACTAATGGCGAGAGAGTTTAATCTGGAGACAGAGAAATTGATGTTACCCCAGATGAAGATGACAGTCTTGGAGAGGACAAAACCATTGCGGAGCATTTGCAGGATAGCTGTGATGATAATCATCGTAGTAAATATGAACAGGCGATTAGCAAGTAACAGGAGCAAAGAGCTATAGAGACGAATTGAAGCTTAGGTCTTTCAATGTGGGAAGCGCGCGCGCGCATATATTTGTGCAAACTAAAATGACAAACAAAAACGTGCATGTATGGGAGCTTATATATGTGTGTTATAATGGAACGTGTCTATAGTTTAGTAAGTAAGAACAGAGAAGGAGGAAAGAGGTGGAGACGAAGCTTCTTCACGATGCATGAAGCTTATAGCTTCACTGTGCACGAACATGGACTTTATACGACCAACTTCATGTTTTGCAATTTGAACTTGGCTATAGCAAAAGTATCATGCAACTAATAACAAGACAGGAGCTTGTACGTTTCGATATAACTGAACGTGTCGGCAGCGGTTTTCCCAATGTCAATCCGAGTATATATATGCGACAAAATATGGCAACTTTTGCTTCAACTTTTTAGCTATCTACATTACCTTTTTTCCTTCTTTCCAGGTGTTTTGACTCCAAAACACTCCTAAAATCTGAAACACCGTCCTCGCTGAGTGATGCACCATTCATTCATTCCAGTGCGTCACATGCAAATTAAAGTAAGGAAACTTTCACGGAGTTTTCCCAAGACTGCACTGTTCCGCCCCCCGGGCCCCCCCTTTAATTGCCGAAATCTAAACACAAGGAATCTCTGAATATGAGTTTTCTCAACTTCCCTTTTATTGCACATTTATAGGGATCAAAACTTAAATGAACCAAATTAAATTTTGTTAAAACTTAAAAGTACGAATCAAAAAATCCCCCGAATTTCCCCCAAATTTTAGAGAAAAATTGGGGAGTAGGCCCCAACCTGGTTCAATAATTCTCGACAACTATAATCATTCTTTAATGGCACATGTATGCAAAATATATCTTAAATTATGTGCAAAATTTTTTGTAAGAAAATGGGCCAGTCCACCCTTGGTGGATTGGACCCAAGTCCATTATCATTCGGGGTCCTAGTGTGAATAGCAAGATTTATGGGTCTTTAACTGTAATTTTTGCCATTTTATATGATTTGCAAAAAAGGAGGGAACGGTTGCAGGTGGGAGGAGACAGTTTTTTATTTGAAAAAAAGGGAGAGTTAAAAAACTGTTTTATCCGAAGAAAAAGGGCCAGTATGTGTAATCATTTTTTCGTGCTCTAGACCCCCTTCTCCTCTCTCAGTTCACTCTTCCTCATCTTTCCTTGCTCCAGTGTATTTGCTGTGTCTCCCAAATCCGACTCCATCACCGTGATCGGACCTCCGCGTGGCAACCTGACTTTATTGCAGACTCCAGGTATGCCCGAAATACTTCATTGGCATCAGAGCTCAGGTTTTTTTTTTTTCCTTTTCTTCTTCCGCTGCTCGAGTTCTTATGCATCTTCGTTTTTACGGTTTAGACTCCAGTACAACTAAAGTGATTTGCTCTCATATATTAAGCAAATCCTCTCTTATATTCAGTATAGTAATTGTCTATGGTGTATTTAGATAATTTAGTGTTGTTTTTCTGAGTTACTCATTGCTTCTAAGGCTTCGGTTATCATAAATTTGTGTCTCCAATTATTGTATGTTACTATTCTGTATGGGAGATGACTGAAAACAATAAAAAACATCCGAAAAACAGTAAAGACGTAGGTTTGGAAGCATGAAACTCATAATTTAAGAGACCTGTTTTCGCACAGTGAAGGCTTTCGTTTTTGGGTGTCTGAAAAATGAAGGTTTTAGGCTTCAAAAATTACCCATTGCGTAGAGCTCGGAAAAACGAAGAAAATGACACCAAGAACGCGAAGAACGGACGTCGGACGGAGGAGATATGGGGGAGAGAATATTCCGGGTCCGACGGACCTGACCCGCGAAGGAATCCAGGCAGGTCAGACCCGACTGGAGGTTGAAGACAACCTCCAGCTCCCAAACGACGTCGTTTTGACGTCGTCCAAAAAAAAACGGGGGGGCGGCTGAGTCGGTTGGGCTAGCTTGGTCCGGATCCGAATAGGATCGGACCAAGCCCAACCCGTTTAAAAAAAAAAGAAAAATAATAATAATAACCTTTAAAATTTTTTTTAAAATTAAATTAATCTTTTTTTTTTGGTGCTAGAATTGCCATGTGGAGCGTTCCGCCACGTGGCACACCTCTTCGACACGTGGACACCACCACCTGACAGGTGGTGGCGCGTGGAGGCCGCCAGCACGGCGTGTGTCCTCAGCGGTCGGCTCCATGGGGGCGCGTGACATACACGCGCTGACAGCGAGAGTGTGCGAAGATTTTTTTTTAAATTTTTCGCTAATTCTTCCTTCTAGGGGCGCGTGTAGGCGCGTGAATGGTCCAATTGGGGTGTGGTTTGTCTCTAAAAATCCCTAAAATTAGGATCTTCATTTTAATATATAATTTGATAATTTTAGAGGCAATTTAGGATCCATTTATGAGTATTTTAGTGCATTTTCTGGTGTTTTAATGTGGATAAAAATTCCAGAATATTCAAAATAATTTATATTATTTTGTTCTAGGTGAAAATAGAGCAAGAGGCTTCTAGTAGCACTGAAAATACCGATCATGGTTCATTGAAATATTCATTCTTAGGTGATGGAATTCCAGGATATGAACCTGAGGATGAGGATCCTGAGGAGGACCTTGAAGAGGTTTCTCAAGAAGACCCAGAGGAGTTAGTGGATTCCGGACCTGAGTCGGAAACTATGTTCCCCACTGAACCCCTCCCTATCGCACCTCAATTAGTCTATAAAGATTCACGGGATCTCCCTAATGAAATTGAAGTTGAGGAAGGAAAAGAGGTGAACCAACCTTTGACCCCTGCATTAGCTATGAGTATAGCTGAGACATATGCAGCAAAACTGACAAATATAAAAGGAATCAATGGTGTGCTCGCTAGCTACGTCCATTACATGACCGATAAGAAGAATACCGAATTCTACCTTAGAGTCATAATAGAGTACATAAGAGCAATAAGAGTTAAAGGTGGACCTAAAGGCAAACCCATAAGAAAGTCTTACTGGATTTGGGCCATAGAGCTAGTGTCCTCCTTTATGAACAAAACGCGCAAACTTAGAAGCCTAAGAAAAGCAATGCTTGATTACATTTATGTTCATATCAAATGATATAATATTTGTATTCGCCTTAAATTTGTGGTTTCATGCATTGTAAACAGACTAAGTATGTTATTTCATTTAATGAAATTACTTGAATTATTGTTGTATGATTATTTATGAATATCATATGTATTCCTTTTATAAGTGGGAGCTTTTAGAAGATAAGACTTCTAAAGGTTACATTTTTGAAGTGCTTATATAGTATTCTTGATAGAATATAATGATAATTGCTAGTATCTATGTGATGGGAGGTACAAACTTATTCTCCTGATCATAGATCTTTTAATTTCATTATTTACTGATCGAGGATAATATAGGCACATTACATTGTATACTTCATTGTGCTATATAACTGAAATGTTCTTCGGTTCGGTTCTCTTTTAAGAGAACATAGATTAATGTGAGATAGATTTGTCACAGAACTAAGAATGGCAACCAAGAACATAATTGCTGAATTGAACAAGGGAGAAAAGCTTAACGGGGACAACTAGGACATCTGGCACCGAAAGGTCCAGTATATTCTAGAGGAACAGGATGCGGTAGAGCCTCTCACCACTGCTATGGTTGAACCTGAGGCTGGCAACACAAACCAGCACAGGAGAGACCAAGAGGCATATCTAACCTGGAAAAAGAAGAATAGCATAGCAAGAATCACGCTTTTGAGCTCCATGGCTGATGACCTAATGTGTGAGTTTGAGTCGCACAAAACTGCACAGGCCATGTGGATATCATTGAAGGATAAGTTTGGCGGAGTCTCTACGACCAAGCTTAGAAGGTTGACAATTAAGTTCGATACCTATAAGCTCAAGCCAAACAATCCTATGAAGCAACATCTGAGAGAGATGGCCAATATGATCCGGGAACTGAAGGAAGCTAGACATAATCTGTCTGATGAGCAGCAAGTGCAGGCTGTCATCAGGTCACTCCCTGCAAGTTGGGAGCACATGAAAGTCAACCTAAACCACAATGAAAACATCATCACTTTTAATGATGTAGCTAAGCATCTGGAGCTGGAAGATGAACGTCTGGAGGCTTACAAGAGCTCTGTACAAACCTATTTGACTGAGGATGCCGGAACTTCCCAATCTAAGCGCAATTTCAAAAAGGGCAAGAAGTCCCAAAAGAAAGGGAAGAAGGGCGGTCCTCAATTTAAAAAGGGCAAGAAACAATTCAAGAAGAAGGGAAAGAAAGGCGGGAAGAAGAAGCTGGACCTGAAGAAGGTCAAATGCTTCGCCTGCCAACAGATGGGCCATTTCGCACGTGACTGTTCCAAACAGGCTGAAAGCGAAAAGGTATTAGTGAATTATGTGAATTCACATGTTTCATATGTTTCTAGTACTTTTTTTCTAACAGAACCTATTTCTTCTTCTTGGATTATACACTTAGGCTCCACAGACCACGTAAGCAGGGATCGGGGATCCTTCGTGGAATACCGTCGGTTGCCGTATCAAAGCAAGTGGCTTTATATTGGGAACAATGCGAGAATTGAGGTTCGAGGCATTGGCACCTGCAAGCTTACTTCGAGTGGTGGAAAGACCTTGATACTCCATGATGTGCTTCATGCTCCTGACATCCGACGGAATTTAATTTCTGTTATTTGCTTAGTAGACTTTGGGTTTAATGTTTATTTTCATGATAAAGTTGCAGACATTTCCTTCAACTCTAAATTTTATGGTTCAGCATTTAGATTCCAGAAATTTTTTGTTATGGATCTTGCTCTTGGTTTTAACGCTCATGATTGTTTTGCTATTTGTTCAAGCAATCCTGATATGAATATCTGGCATGCTAGACTAGGACATATTAATCAAAATAGAATGATTAAACTAGCAAAAGAAGGAATGTTGGGCACAATCCCTAACATGGAAATGTCCTTATGTGAAAATT